AACAGTGGCTGAGAAAGATAGAAGTTTTTTGTTTGTTGGTTGGGGATTCATCGGTTGGTTGTTTGCTCTGAAGGTTAGCTGTGGAGGCCACCTCGACACCACAGTTAGGGGGATACAGGCTCCTGCCCTCTTGCTGCCCCACAACCCTCACCTCATGAGCCAAAATGGCTCTCTGAGTGTCCGCCTCCCAGTGACGTCCCAGGCAACACCAAGGAGGAAGGTAGACATTGGGAGGCACTTCCTCCCTTTCAAGACATATCCTGGAAGTCCCATAGAACACTCCCTTTCAAGAGATATCCTGGAAGTTCCCGTACACCTGACTGGTCAGAAGTGTGGTTCCCTGGCTACACTTAACTGTAGGAGAGGCCAGGAAATACAGAGTTTTGTTTTGTTTTGTTTTGATTTGTTTTGTTTTCCTGGATGGGAATGAAAAATTGGGAGTCTGTTTTTAAGGAGAAAAGGGAAATGTTTGCTATTCTAGCAGCATCTCACAGTAATAAAAGTTAGTTCTCTGCCCCTTTCTGGCCTTGTGACTCTCCACTTTGTATTATGGTATGTCTTTCTAACATGTCTGCTACAGATAAGGAAACTCTCAGATATTAACACAGAGTTAAAAAGAGGAAGTGTGTTTATGCAGAGGGTCCCTCGTACTGCAGTCCTTCCCAGGTCTGTGGTTTGGATTTTGCTTTCATCTCTTTGGTCAGCGAAAACACTGATGAGCCCATGCCTTGGTGCCAAGGGAGAAAGAAGGCTGCTAGAAGCAATCACTGAACAAGTTGCAAATTTGAATCTTCTACAAGTTTATGAGAAATCAGAGTGGGCCACAGCCATCACTTGGCAACAAAAGCCCCATATCTATCTATCCCTCTTGACTCCTTGTGCAGGCTTCAAACAGATCAGGGAAACAAGCTGAATGTTAGATTTATTTATTTATTTATTTTTAGGATTTTTGTGCACATATTTAATTTTTGGGGGGTGTATAACATGCATACAGAAATATATGCATAAATCATTCATGTCAAGCTCGATGAATTATTACAAAGTGAATGCACTCATGTAAAGTGAATGCGCTTTATGTAACCAAGAAATAAAACCAACTTCACCCATGTTTCCTGACAACTACTTTCTCCCTCCTCCCCAAGAGTAATTGATATCTTAACTGTTAACATTGCAGATCAATTTTGCCTTTTTTTATAAAGCTGTTTTGTTACATAAAAATTTGAACAAATGCAAAATAAATAAAATAGTATAGTAGACCTGACAACTACTAATCATGTGCCTAAATGGTAGATTTATTGTGGTCATTTGATCACAAATCAAAAATACAGATTCAAATCTCATTTGAGGGAGAAATGAATTCACTGATGCATTTGAGAATAGAAAGGAAGACAAAAATTTCTGATGGGATATTTATGATAAGATTTGATTTTTTAGTTTGCGTCTTGGTAGATGAACTTGGGTTTGTCAGTGAAGAAGAAACTTATGATAGATAGGAAAGCTTTCTCCAGCCTAGCATAGGGGCTATTGGTAGCAAATGCATTTTGACTGAGCCAGTATTCTATTATATATTGTATCATTCAAAGCATAAATCAAAATCAAAAATCCAAGGATTAGGAAGGAATGGGTAAAGGACCACAAGAAGGTTTACATTATGTAATGATAAAAAATTAAAATCCAAGGATTAAATATTTCTTCGTAAGAACTGTATAAACAGATAAATATG